GTGCTAATGAAATGACCAATTGATCGATTGGTTGATTGGATGTCCTCGCCGTTAGGTGTGTCCACAAGAACGATCTGTTCCCTCCCGAGAACCCGATAATATGTCAACACTCGGGGTCTTTACTCAATAAGTTTGTCATCAAGTGTTGTGCAGAAAGCGATTACTGCAATATAGACCTGAAACCCACTCTTTCGCCTCTTTCTAATGGTAAGCATTTTGATTACATCTATTAATACCGCTGTTTCTCTTCTCTCATATTTTGCTGACAACCAATTGAATGCCTATTGAAATGATTGCACACAATATACACACATATAAAACATGAATCCAAATACTGTTATTGATATGAATGACAATCAGATGTCTGGATAAAGACAAGATCTTTCCCCCCGAGAACCCCCTTTGGTGTAAATCAGAAATCTATTATCCAAACTCTGTCCACCACTGCTGTCAAGACATAGATTTTTGTAATAAACACCTGCGACCGGCTCTGCGACCAATCACACCTACACCTACAGGTGGGTCCCATTCATAACAACATTCATACACTATGAATACCATTCAATACCACATCCATTAGTTATTATACAAGTCATCAAAACACTGGCCATCGTCTATCGTGTCTGTGTCTGTTGAACAACACATATCTGTATTGTAATGCTGTCATTGGTGTTGTTCCGTCTCATCCGAGCCCTTCATTTAATCCCATATTAATTGTCGCTAATATTCATAACTCAATGCATGGCATGTAATGCAACTCATTATAATCATTGACATCTGTTCCGTCACTGCTATATCACTGCTTTCATTGCACTTTCACCCAAAACTAACATTCAATTCTAATATACAACTAATCTCTCATTAATTTTCTTAAATACTAACCTAAGAATGACTTTTGTCTAAACAATTGGTTTAATCCCCTAATTATTGATAATTTATGAGTGGAATGTCTGGAAATGTATTTTCATAATTGGCTGAATCTCTAAATTGTTGTCTCACTTTATTAGTTACTCGTAGACAAGACTAATAGATATTTACTTTGAGTTTGGCTTAAAATAAAACTTAACTTATTTTTGCCAAAGTTTTAATATAAACATTCACTAAAACTGTTCAATAATTATAGCACTTTTGTTTGTCTCACATAACTATTAGCAATCAAAACGAGTGAATCCGTTATTTTCTAAAACAAATCCTTTAATTTCCAACTTTTGAATGAATGCTTTAAATAAACACATTTGAGAAACAAATCTTATTAGTGATATTGACAGCAAAAGCACCACTCATTCTAATCCAAATCTATTATAATTAAGACACAAATGATTGAGGTTTGAATTGAGATTTAGTGTGACATCAAATTTCTTATGTATTGGACAGTTGTGTTGAAAAACATGATTAAAATGAAGATTTTTGAATTGCGCCAAAAGGGGATCCAAAGGTGTGATGTTTTGTTGGAGTTCAGGTATCAATGATTAACCATAAGCTTTATCTTTCACACGTTAAATGCTGTTGTCATGCCTTTTGCTCATTAATGTTAACCCATAATTGTGTTTCAATTTCACTATCGACTCAACAATTTTGTTATTTTAACACATTTTGTTTGTCTTCAATAAGATATTCGATAGTTTTT